ATGAAATCAAAAGATGAGTGGCATGTGCTTATTTATGTACATCCTGCTAAGAGGTGTAAAAAACATAATTAGACAGGCGCCCCCCAAGACGGGTACACATTCTTTCTTTCCCCTTCTTTTAGCATCGCCATCACAGACCACAACGGCCCTGCTAGGCCCTGCCACAGACAGATCTCTAATAGGCTTGGCTGTCTCCTTCTTAATTTGCTGAAATTGCAAAATCAATAGGTGTAGTCATAGCCGCCCGCTCCCTGTTTTAGTGGGAAAAGATAAAGTCTATGGGAAGGCAATCTTCACTTTCAATTTGCTCCCTGTTCAGTATTGAGGCCGAAGTGCTTATCACTCTACTTAAAGAGACCGTATGCCTGTCTCATAGTGCTGGTGGACATGTAAGGGTTTCATTCTGGAAACCTTAAAAGACACCTTCACTAGCATAAATGTAGTTTTTTAAAGCGCAAACCAAGTGATGTTAATAAAAAGTCGGGCCTTTTTTTAACAGAACTGCTGGGAAAGTGAAAAAATAGGTATGCATTTTGTGTTTTTTTAAACCTGTTTTGTCTTAAAGTTGATGATTCTGCACTGCCCCACCTACAACTACTGCTCTCTGGATGTGAAAAGTTTCATGCCTAGTATCTTGAGTCTCTTCTCAACTCAGTGAGGGGGTCTTCTAATTCCAAGCTCACATGGATTATGTGACAACATCTTGGCTTAATCTTTCACTGTGGTATCTGTATGCCACAATGTGTCACTGGAAATGTAGTTTTCCATAAGACAGCAATCCTCGAATTCAGAGGCGCTCTCAACTTTGTATATATATTAGAGGACGCTTTGATGAATGCATTTGTAGATATGAGTTCCTGGATGCAAAAGTGTAAAAGTGTTCATTTATGTTTCTTGTTTTTTTGAAAAGAAGTGTGCGCTCCAAACAGCTCTTGTCGGCAGGATCTTTTGTCTCAGCAAGCCTGTTCGTCCTTTCCTAATCTCCCCTTGATGCTGCCTTTACCCATAATCCTTTCTTTCATTAACTGCCCTCCTATATAGCGCCACCTTTATTGCAGTCTTTTACTTTCTAATTGCAAAGAGACAAGAGCAGGGGGAGGTGAGTGTCCGTGCTGCTGCGGGAGGCTGAGTGGGTGGTGGGTGCTTTCCGAGCATCTGCATAAGAAGTTGTGTTTTGCGGAGGACAGGCCACAATTGAGAGCAAAGGGTACGGGTGGGGTTGGCTTTTGTGGTTGATTGCAGAAATAATTTCACATGTAGAAAAGAGCTTAAAGAAAAAATTTTAATCTGGATATTAAGAACATTATATGTTCAAGTTAAGGGGGTCAGCTCTTGGCATGGCTGCTCCTGGCAGGAAATCCATAGAAATTAGAAACAGGATTTTGATGATGAAGATGAGAGGGGACGAGAGAGGGAGGGCGAGCGAGAGGGGCAGTCAATGTATGTACTTGTAGTACACCACCGTTTTAAGCGCAATCGTACCAATTCATGGAATTTCCTAATTACTTTGTGACTTCCAAACATTTTTAAATCATCCCACATTATAATACAATAAGCAGATTTACCGGAAGAGAGGAGGAGGAGGAGGTGGAGGAGGAGAGGGGGGCGAGGGGAGGGAAGAGGAAATGTTTCCAAAACATCCACTGGTGGGTTGCATTTTAAAAATGTTGTTTTCCTGTTGTTAGCACGAAAGAAGGGATGGAGGGAGGGATGGAAAAGAGAAAGGAGGAGGGAGGTTCAATTTTGAAAACACTCGTCCAGATGCATATTTATGACTGTGCGTCATAAATGCACTTTATGATAAGGCAAATAATTCACACGGCGCATCACAGACATCACTTTAACATATTCTATAAGCAGAGTTAAAGACCGCCTTGTTTGCCGTTTCCTATTTCACAATAACCCCCTCCAACAATACCCCCCCCACCCGCCGCCCCCATCCTCCCCACCTGCTCCCCCTAGCCCGTCTCTCTCTCTCTCTCTCTCTCTCTCCCTCTCTCTCTTTCTCGTCCACCAATGAATCCGAGCCTCAGCAAAGCTCCATACTTGGTTACACACTGGCCCCTATTGGCAGTCTTACCACTTGAACAAATCTAAGTGATGCATGCAAATGAGGGGGTAAAAAAAAACTGCATTTTTTCCAAATGGTTCAGCGATTTATTTGTTTATTTTTTAATTATTTGTTTCAAAATTTTTGAAATGAGTCAACTTGTAAAAGCAGGATCGTGTGATCTGTTTTTATTATACACCACGGTCATGATATTGTCTTATATTTCCAAATAATTCATGCAAAGAATCGAAATATCACACTTAAATCACTGACTACGGATTATATGTGTGCACTTATTTCATTTGCAGGCATTTTTAAATATATTTAAAAAATACTAAATCATTTCATATTGATTCTTTTGTGTGTGTGTGTGTGTGTGTGTGTGTGTGTGTGTGTGTGTGTGTGTGTGTGTGTGTGTGTGTGTGTGTGTCATTTCCCTTATTTTGCACCCAGACATAAATATTTGCTCAGGTCTGAGGGAATGAGTATCTCTGTCAAAAAACGTGGAAATTGATCCCAACAGTAATATCCCTCAATTAATGTTGGGAGTTTTCTTTTTCCAGGGAGGAACAGTGTGTCAGTACATTTCTGCAGCTAAATACATGATTATACTTAAGCCTCTGCAGTTAGGTGTGCCCAATTTCCACACACTAACACAGAAGGAACACAAGGTCACACACTGAGAGAGTCAGGGAGAAACGGGCAGAAATGGAGGACAGTGTGGGATGAAGAAATGAAGACACAAGGAAGAGCACGTTTCTGTTACATTTGGGAAACTACAGACAGGGCGAAAGCTATTTTACAAGCTGCATGAAGCCTGTGTCAGTTATGCGTTCAACATGAATCGTGAACATGGTCATTTTTCTTCTAGGAAATGGACTTATGTGGCATGGCCCACGAGATGTGGGGCAAACATATTTTGTCACACACGTGTATTAAATTGAGAGATTTTCTGAAATATATAAGTATACGCGCAACTTAAACAGAATAAACACCAATATATGATTTTTATCTCAATTTAAGGAAATAAAATCAGAGGTTTCTGCTTCCTGTTTCAAAATGAAAAAGATTTTCGGCTTTTCTTTGACTATTTAAAAAAAATTCATCTGGATTTTTTGACTTTTGTTTGAACAAAGCGAAACAATTGAAGGCGTCACTTATTTCTTTGCCTAATTAATAGGTAAAGAATTAATAAAGAAATGACTATTAAATGAAGCAGTTGTAGATATAATAATACTTATAATAAAAAATCCAAGCGTTATTTATGTTTTATGGTTCATGCTTTTAAATCGTGATTCTCATCAGATGTTTCTCACATGATTTCCTAATTATATCCTCAAAAAAATCAACTACACCACATATGTTAAGAGATTATGTTGTGTCCCATTTAACTCACATTTTCCATTCATTCTTAAGTGTAAATTTTTCCCCCAAAAAAGGCAAAAAGCACCAAAAACATGGGCGTTTTTTTGCTGTTTTTCCTCGGCTTATCAAAAGAATATAAGGGGTCCTCATAACAATTACGTAGCATTAAACAGATCCCCCACTGATCCCACATAATATTTTGTTCTTTTTTAGACTATATTCACATTACTTTGTGGCATTTTAATTGTTTTTTTTTTTATTCTTTCTTTTCAAATTTCATTTATATGAAATCTAAAAAAAGATCAGAAAACAATACAGTTCAGATTTTTCATTTTAGACTTTGGACCGTCTTTAAATTGCAATTTCAAAAATTCACGCTGTGGCGTCACAGAGCAGGTGTGTGGCAACCTAATGCAACAAAAGCCACTGGAGTTGTCAAAAAGACTTTTTTTTATGGATGGTAGTGGGTTTGCATCTGTCACCACATACACACGTATTCATTCCAAGCTTCTCACACTGAACAAAAACACCAAACGTGTACATCAACATAGACACACATTTTGTTGATCCCACAGCTTTGGAACAGTTACTCTTCCCTATGCAAATGAGCCGACTCTCTCCCGCTCCCGATCGTGGTAAAGTGATATGAACTGCTGAATATAAATGATTGGGAATGATTGATAGACCCTCCCACTGACCACCCTCCACAGACAGATAGAAATCCAGACAGATATATGCATCTCTCTTTCTCCTTTCTCGCCTTTCCCTGTGTCTCACCCACTCACTCAAACAAGTAAAAACATATATATATGCTAGTTCATCAACAAGTTATAAACTATTAATAGCGCTTCGATTCAACACTAACACCCAAGAAACACTCCCTGAGCTTAGGTCTCATGCACAGCAGGCCTCAACTGGCCCTGGAAATATCCAAATATGTGCAATCTTCCCAATAATTAGTACATTATTAGAATACAGTCCCCATCCTAATTCATGACAGAAGTGCCAGAGCGGCCAAAGATATTTTGAAGACTAGCTTCCAGAGAAGTTGAACGTCAACTCCGTAGACTACAGGACATGGCCAGTATACATGAATAAATCAACTCAATGGACCATGAGAGTTTTCAATAAGTCACTGCAGCCAGTTTAAATCCCTCAAGGTGTCAACTTTCCTCCACTTCAAGCCTTAACGTGTGACAAGTAAGTGCTGAAAAATCCATCTAACTGCTTCTGCAACATCCCGATTGACAGCACAACTCACCTCACTGTTCAGTGCATTAAATTTAACTGCATCTCCGCCGTACCTCTGCATGTACTTACTGGGCTCTGTCCTGACAAAGCAGCACGCTATGAAGAAACAAGACCTGTGCTCAGGAGGGCCAAGCTCGCACAATGGCCTCTTTAAACACGCACAAGAATGAGAGCGGGTTTACAATGAGAAACTAACAAAAGCACACAGCTAAGACTGGAAATATATAATACTGTGTACAATGTAGAATGACGAGAAAAATAATAAGAAGCCTATGCGGTATAACGGCATGCCGGCGCAGACAAACACCAAATATCTACAAAAGAATGTATTTACCCGACTGTTTCCATCCGTTCCCTTTCCCCAATGCCCGACTGGCCAGGTGTGTGTATGTCAGTGTGTGAGCTACTGTTGGAGGGTCTGTGTGTGATTTCTTTCAGACAGGAGACTGGAAATGGGGTAGAAGCCATTACGCTGGGAGAATCACCCAGAGCACCCCGAAATGAGGGGCAGGGGCCTGTCAACACGCATGGTTATGTGTGTGCTTGTGTGTGTGTGTGTGTGCTGGCAGGGTCCAGCCGGTGACCTTCTTCAAATGAGCCCCCCATGATTTATTTACTGTGCCCTTATCCAACCTCTCCCAGCACACATGGACACATGATTTCTAGTATTTCAGTGATAAGGTAGAATCTGCAAATGTGGCTCTTTTTTTTTTCCTCGTTCAGGACAGGACAGGCAGGAGAAAATGGTGTTTGGTGTGAAGAGAACAGATCGGTCACCCTATCTCACACCGCAGTAGCATCTTATTTTCCTCTCCATTTCTCCGCTCTCCCTGTCCTCTTCTCATTTTAGCTCCTTCTCTAGAGCCAGCGTCTGCCTCTCACCCTTATTCTCCCATCCTCGCCCTCCCTGCGCCTTCCCCTCTCACATTTTGCACCGCCAAGACTAGCAAGTCTAGATGCCATCTCGTGCTTTCGCTCTCTCTGTTTCGCTCTTTCCTTCTTCTTTTTTTTTTCTCTCTTTCTCCTCCATTCATCCGTTTTCCCGTCGCCCTCGCTTTCTCCCTCTCTTGGTCTTTCTCACTCTCCCCCGCTCCCTGCGAGGGGGGTGGGGTTTCACTGTCGTGGAGCGAGATGAATTTCTGATTGCTGTCGGGCAGCGCGGAGCACTCTTATTGGTCAGAGTAAGCCAGGGAGGAGAGGCAAAGGCACGGAAAGGAAGAAAAGGAAAAAAAAAAAAAACTGAAAAAGGATAATTTTTTTTCATTGGGTGCATATGACCATAATTGCACCCCTTCCTTTTCCTCCCCCTCTCTTCCCCTCTCTCAGCAGAAGCAGCAACACGCTATAATTTGAACCACCGGAGCCAATTATGCAGATTAGCTTGCCCCAGGTTGACCAATGACCTCCCACGCCAACCCCCCACCCGTTTACATTTGTTTACAATATGCAAATTACCGCTGGGTTCCAAAACGTGCTGGAGGGTGTCAAAACACCTTTTGCGGCATTACAGTGTTAGTCTAAACTGCCCCCCCCCTCTCCACAAGCCCCCGCAATGCTCCCACATGTGAGTGAACATGTGCAAATGAAAGAGAAACAACTTAGCATGAGATTTTGTTTGATGAAGTGTTTGATGAAGTGTTTTGGAGGTTTTTGTGCGACAAAAACTTATTAATACTGCAGCGTTTTGCCCTTAACTTCTGACATGGAGTTAATGCTCTATAAAGTAATTTTTTTTCACTCTTTCTTCCCAGCATTTGTCCTTTTCTCCATCACTCTAGATTAACTCACCCGTCTTTCCCAAATCATCTAACCATCCCTCGGTACCCCTCCTTTTCCCTCTGTTCTTTCTCCCAGCCTTCTCTTTCCAAGTCCTTCCACCTATGTCTTCCTCTCTCGATTCACACTCCTGCTTCCCACCACCCCCTGCCTCCCCCACTGCTACAGAGATGGAAGCTAGTCTGTCTAATTAGCTGTATGGTTTACCTTGGCTCAGTGGGGCCTGGCTTCCTTAGCTGGGTTTAAACAGGGAGATGGACGGGCTGGAACGCTGAAACCCTAGACTGTAATTAGAGACAGGCTCACTGAGGGCACACCACTGCTGACACAGAGCCTCTGTTCCACTGTGCACACACAGACACACACACACACACACACACACACTAGGGAAAGCTTGAGAAGCGTGCACACACACATACACACACACACAAGCACACACACATAGACGCTGTGGCAAACATAAAATGCATGAAAACAAAAGGTGTGGGCATTAAGTGCACCCAGCCATCCAAGCACGGTCACTGGCATGAAAACACACATACATGCAGAGTTGGCATTCGCTCCTGCCAACAAACACATGAGTCTCTAACACTGCTGTAGTCCGAAATATACACGAGTGCTTTCAATTTGGTTTTAGCCCGGCTTATTCCAACTCATATTTCTGTGGTTTATTTTACTGTATTGCAGCAAGATGTCCCCAAAACACAGTACCAATTATGTCTTTTCCCCTCACCTCATCTATTCTAGCCTCCTCACCGCCACTCGTTGCTGTTTTTAAAACACTGTCTCTCGCTATACCCCCCCGTCTCGTCCCATGATTTATTACTTCTTTCTTTCTGATTTGAATTCTCCCTCTCTCCGTTACAATTTTATGCTTTGTGGTGGGGCCCGTTTCTATTTTCTCCACTTGGACAGATTAAAAAGACACGCCAAAGACAACACACACAGCCAGTGCCACACACACTCGTGCACGCAAACACACACACACACACAGACATGAGCGCACGAGCACGTCCGCAGCTGGTCTGATTGCGCTGGAAGTGTTGTGTTTATTCCCCTCAAAGTTAACTTCATCAAAACAAGGAACAAAAGAGACAGAGCCAATCAATGAAATTCATTAATGAAAACTGAAATGCATTTTATTCTTTTCTAATTACACGCATTGTAGCTCATAATTGAGCGGGGTGTATCAGACTGGAGATTACTTCACACTTGTGCATGGGTCACCCTCCGTGTGTGCATGTATATTTATTGCATTGCTGCACGGTGTGCGCGCGCGCGTGCACAGTGAGAGGAAGACAGACATACAAAGAGAAGGAGATGAAACTGAATGCTGAGAAAAAAAACTGATATCAAGTGAGGAGCACTGAGGAAGGGGGCAAAATGAGAGACAGACAGAAATATGAAGCAACGGATTGTATAAATCTATTTTTCACCAGTATTATACTGCCCTCTGTTGTTCATGCAGAGAACAGCATTTGCTGACAGTCAGTCATACCTCTGTGTGGTGAGACCTTCTTTCCCACATCTTTGCAACGAATGCCACTCACACGAGCTAAACAAGGACCACGCATCTCATCAACTTGTATAACTTTGATAAAAGTTCATAGCTTGACAATATAAATCACATTTGGTTGAGTTTATTGACTTCCCAAAGGAAAGATCTTGGCAGCGAGCTGAACAGTGAAGGCAAGACATCGCCGAGGAAGAATGTGTGAAGCCAAAGCAAATTTGGTTTGATTTGATTTTTTCCTCTATGTTTCGATCCTTTTTATCTGTCTCAAAATGTGCTGTTTTGTCAGGAAGTCGTGTCACCGCCACATCCCCCCTTTTATATTTCATTGCTAAATGCTGATTGCTGTTCCTGAGATTAAAGTGGACCGTTACAAAGAGAACATGTACTCGCAGGTGTCATAGTATTTTAATGTGTTATGACAACAGCGAGACACTGTCAGGAACACTGTGTATACTAAAAGTACAGACACCTGGTATTCTTTTAGGCATTGTTCACCTCCAATCAAACAAAAATGATTAAAGAAAGGTGGATACTGTGCAAGTGTGTGTGTGTGTGTGTGTGTGTGTGTATGGTTTGTCATCTGGCCCTAACTGCCCTACAATAACAAATGTTCCAGCCTTCTGATTGGGCAATTAAAGGCAGCAGGGGCGCTGTGTTGACGGGTGAAAGTGTGACATCCATCATCTGAAACAATCAGCGCCTACCAAGCAGCATGTGCTAGTGTGTGTATGTTTGTAAGCTATAGGCTCCTCAAACTACATCAAGCCCCCTGTGTCTCTATAATAACTCCATGAAATCAAACACACACCTCCTTAATCCCAGGTGATGCACAGTAGCCAGTGGCATAAAAAAGAAGACCAAAAAAAAAAAAATCAATAATGACCATGTGACCAAACCAGGAAATGCTTGAACAAAGGCCCAGGTAGGGAAACACTATAACAGCGTCTGCTAAAAAGCAAATTCAGCATAGCAAGGATATCTTTCCTTTCATTATGTAGTTTGCTTACCCTAATGCCAGCAAGAAAGATCACATGAAGGCGGTTTAAATTAACACAGGGTTTAACAATCTAGCTACAAGCGTGTTCATATGAAAGGGGAAGCGTTAGCATCATCACAAACCATCACATGGATCAGCCTACTGGCAGCAACTGATTTTACAAAGAAGAAAACAATATAATACCAGATTGGAAGCCCTTCTTTAAGACTGGAAAAGACCTACTATGTTAATAAAATTTTGCCTATTTCAAGGCAGGAAAGGTCTGCAAAAATGCTGAAGGTGTAAATTAACAACAATTTAAGAGAGACGAAGAACACCTTACAGTCTCTAAATGTACAAACAGATGGGAATAACATGCTATCAAATGAGCATAGTGCACAAATGTAAAGTTGGATTGGACTCAGCTTGTAGCCAACCCTTGTAGTAATGGTTTTCTATAAAAAGCCCGGCCTTCACCCTGTATAATCAAGAATGCACTCTAGTTTGAGGTGAGCTGCCATCATGTGTGACACCGGGCACCAAGAGGAACATCTGGGAAGAAAGGCTATGGTTGGGTATCTTTAGCTGAAATTTGCTCATTGATGAGGTTTAAAGGTAGTCTGATTTTTAAAGAGTAACACAAACAGTGTTTTATTGAACTTTTTTATTTCAGATTTTCAAGTCTGTTTTTGATCTGATCATCCCCATCCTTATTAAAATGCCTGAATTTTTTTGGTTAGAAATGTTCTTTGTTGTACATGTAACCCAACCCAGCAGTGATGTCACAGAGCCTGGAGGCCACTTGTATATCACTGCAAGATAAGAATTTCACCAGCTGTAGGTTTTTTTGGGGGGGATGTTTAATTAATAACTTATATTAAGGAAATTACAGATTCAGCTGGACTAAACTAAACATGGGTGATTGAAATAAAAATAATAACAAGTTTTGCTATGGCAGATATTTGTATCATTTTTAACTTCTTTTGTTTTGTAATCTCCATAATTATGACATATTTACTCCTTTTTCTCAGGCTGAGGTTACAGTTACAGTATAATTTGTAAGCTTGTTGCTTGACCTCCCCTTTTGCTTTTCTCCTGTCGAGTTTTATACAACTCTATAAAACTAGTTCAACCAGAAACACTGATGTCACAGTCTGGAGAAAAAAAATAATGCCAACATGTTAAAC